AAGTACTTTAAAGCATATAAATAAGTTACCCGGGCAATTGATTTACATTAGCCAATCAGACGAACTTCTGTCTATGATCTATAGAATAGGTGGGCATTATAAAAAATAAGCTTCGCTATTGATTAGTAATCATTAATTTTTTAATAGCGGAGTTGCGGAGTTTGCGGAGTTTACCCACCTATTCTATAGAACATCCGAAATGTGTTTTCTTTAACTACGAACTGCCAGTTAAATAACTTTTATTACTACTTAATTTGAATTTGAAGATTATGTTCGGTTCTCGCAACGTGTTCTTGTCTGTCAATCGTATAAGTTTGGGTTTATGACTAGATAAATACCACATTCATCCACTTTACGAATTAACTCTTTTGTATATGATATTTAAACTTTTTCTTTTCGTTTCATAGTAATGATTGGTTAATTAGATCTGTAAAAATTAGCCAATCAGGCGAATTCTCCAATTTTAGTAGATAATCAATCAATGACTTAAAAAAATTTTTTTTTTTCAATCGATTAGTTAATAACTAGTTATCAACGTTAACTAGTTATCAATTAACGCTATATAGTTGATTTTTTTAACTAACGATTTGGAACACAAATTCCGCCCTTTCTATTGCAAAGACTCCATTTATCTGCCATGACTATTCCGGGCACGAAAGTGCGAAATGCAGTAAAAAATGTAAAAAACGATAAGCAAAATTTATCAAAACAAAAGAAAAGTGGGCCGATTTCCACTCCAGTTAAAAAATCCAAATCAGTACAAATTAAACAAAATCATAGCAGTAGTGCCTCGAGTTCAAGTGAATCTGAAGACGATAGTGAAGACGATAGCGACGACGATAGTGATAAGAAAAAGGCCAATCATTTGAAGCAAAATTCATCAAAACAAAAAACAAATGGATCTATTTATGTTCCAATCAAAGAGTCTAAACTAGATTCAAGCAGTAGTGATTCAAGTACAGTTGAATCTGAAGACGATAGTGACGATGATAGTGATGAGGAAGATGCCAAAAATTTGGAACAAAATTCATCAAAACAAAAAATAAATGGACCAATTTCTGCTCCAACCAAAAAGTCTAAGCGAGATCATAAAGAAAATGGCAAAAATGAAAATGATGGGCAAGATTCAAGCAGTAGTGACTCGAGTGCAAGCGAATCTGAAGACGATAGTGACGACGATAGTGATAATGATAGGTCCAATGATTTGGAGCAAAATTTATCAAAACAAAAGATAAATGGCCCGATTTCTGCTCCATCCAAAAAGCCCAAACCAGATCATAAAGAAAACGGAAAAAATGAGAATGATGGGCAAGATTTAAGCAATAGTGACTCGAGTGCAAGTGAATCAGAAGACGAAGATAGTGACGACGATAATGATAAGAATGAGACCAATAATTTGGATCCAAATTCATCAAAACGAAAAATAAATGGACCGATTTCTGCTCCAACCAAGAAGTCCAAACCAGATCATGAAAATGGCAAAAATGAAAATGATGGGCAAGATTCAAACAGTAGTGACTCGAGTACAAGTGAATCAGAAGACGATAGCGATGACGATAGTGATGAGGCAAATAATGTGAAGCAAAATTTATCAAAACGAAAGATAAATGGACCGATTTCTGCTCCAACCAAAAAGTCCAAACCAGATCATGAAAATGACGGGCAAGATTCAAGCAGTAGTGACTCGAGTACAAGTGAATCAGAAGACGATAGTGACGACGATAGTGATGAGGAAGATGCCAATAATTTGGAACAAAATTCATCAAAACGGAAGATAAATGGACCAATTTCTGCTCCAACTAAAAAGTCCAAACCAGATCATGAAAATGGCAAAAATGATAGACAAGACTTAAGCAGTAGTGATTCAAGTACAAGTGAATCTGAAGAAAATGATAGTAACGAGGAAGAGGCCAGTCACTTGGAGCAAAATTCATCCAAAAGAAAAGTAGACGAATCTGTCGCTACACCAGTCAAAAAGCCGGTTAAAAAACCCAAGGTTGATGACAACATGTCTTCAAGTAGCACAGTATTCATTGGTCAACTCTCGTACAATGTTGACGCTGATTGGCTAAAGGATGAGATGAAAGATGCTGGAGAAATAGTCGATGTGCGCATAATTTATGACAAAACAACTGGAACGTCGAAAGGGTAAAAAAATCCATCATTTATTAAAATTTATGGTTTTTTGAAAAGTTTGTTTATTCTGGTATGTCTATCCTTATAGGTATGGATATATAGAATTTACTAATCCTGAAGCAGCACAGAATGCGTTAAAGCTCGCGGGAAAAGAAATTGATGGCAGGTCTATTCGTGTTGACCTTGCTGCCCCCAAAAATGCCGCCCCCAAAAATGCAAGACATGATACAAATGTTACTGGCCCAAAAAGCGAAGTCAGTGATACCCTCTGGGTCGGTAATTTGTCTTTTAATGCTACGGAAAAAAAAGTTCGTGATGTTTTCAGTCGTTATGGGCAAATTATAGCAGTCAGGCTCCCTACCTTTATTGATACGGGGAACCCTAAAGGGTAAATATACTTTAGGCATAATCAATATTATTACATTATAAATATTAATTTTTTTTTTTTTTTTATCAAATTTAAGCTTTGGTTATGTTCAATTTGCAGACATTAGTAGTTCTCAGAAAGCTATGGAATTGGACGGTACGGAAATTGAAGGTCGTCGTATTCGGCTCGATTTTTCTTCAGGCAGACAAACCAATGACAAAAGTATACTATTTATATTATTATGTATAAAGTTGATATTTTTACCATTGTGTTTTATTTTTATTTAGGATATATAAAACATTTACATAGATTCTCGCTTTGACGGTCGTAGTGGTGGGCGCGGATTCGGATTCAGAGGTGGTCGTGGCGGACGTGGCGGGCGTGGTGGGCGTGGTGGGCGTGGCGGGCGTGGCGGAAATAGCTACGCAGCCGCAAACCGAGGAGCAATTGTCCCTGCACAAGGAAAAAAGATAACCTTTGAATAAAACAAAAAAGTCAATATTGATATTTTATTATTTATTATGTACAAACACAATAATATATATTGTAACTATTCTAGGACAACTGATGTAAGTCAATGATATGTGTTATCACTGATCGCACTCTTGCATGTGCGGCGTTTAAAACGGGAAACCCGTGTAACGTGTGAACTATCAATTTTGTGCTGCTAGTGCAATTGTCAAACCGCTAAAATCCCTATGTGTCTTTAACACTCGATTTTGTGCCGAAGTCCTTTGTGATTTATGGCATCACGAAATTTTTACTCTTTATTTCTAATATAAATTATTATAATCTTGACTGTTGATTGTTCATATTATTGTCAGTCTTTTGTGTATAGTACTTTAGAGTTGTGAGAACTCTTACTTTCTAAAGTTCCAGCGCTTTTTGGTTTTTTTTTTTTTTCTATTGTTTTAAATTCTACCGATACGAATCCATCTGCTTTAATTCTCGTTGGGCTTTCTAGCCCACGCATTTGTTTAAAGTTAAAACTTGGTTGTAATTATAAGTCTGTGACAAAATGAGCGGAGGAAATATTAAAGTAGTAGTAAGATGTCGTCCTCTCAATTCCAGAGGTAAGAATCGTTATCATAGTTTAAATGTATGATAGGTTTGCGAATTCGTACATTTGTTCAATATATCGGGAATTTGGCCTGTAGCGCTCTTAATTCTACGTTAAATAGTAAATGAAAATTTAAAAGCTTGCATCTAAAAGTCTATGTGTTTTTGGTTTAGAAATCGCACGGGGGGCGAAGTGTCTTATCCGGATGGAAGGCAATCAAACTATAATTACTAGACCAACAGACTCCGCTGATCCCGGTAATGCAAAAGCCGCCAATAAAAAGGACGCTGAAGATGTCAAAGCTTTTACTTTCGATAAATCATACTGGTCCTTTGTTTTCTTAATAACGTTACCCTCCGGATCTTTAAATGTGATTACTTGTTTACTGTCAGGAACACCAGAATCATAAGAAACTTCGCCTGGTTCGACACCCAATTTGCTTCGTAACATTTGTAATTCTTCTTTAAGTTCACGAATGAGTCTCGCATTAGGATCTTCATTAACAACTGCCTTGTTTTTGATACGTTTTGCGGCATCAGCATAACGAAGAGTGCTGAGTGTTTCATCATAGTCTGCTGGTGAAATGGCGGCGATCATAGCTGTTTTGGAGTTACCTCCCAAA